AGCTTTTAGAGGCTGCCTATAGCCCTTGCTCGAGGCCCTCTTCTTTCATCATCAAAATTAGCTATGGTAGTTGACTCTATTGTTGTATTTCTGACCACAGCCACAGGGAAAAGTTACCCACTTTTAATGGTTCGGGTGATTAAATTGGACCGACCCAGATAATCCAAGATAATTTCCCCATCTCAATGTCCTTACCCTTAATCCACATCTGCAAAGTCCCTTTTGACATGAATACAATAGGTTCTGGAGATTAGGACATTGGCATTTTGGGGGGATGGGAGCATGAGTTTGTGTACCATATAGGGGTTGACTCACTCCATACCCGAGAATCCAAATCTGGCAACCTAGTTTTGTAAATAAAATTTCATTGCTGAGCCACACCCTTCAGTTTATATAGCGTCTGGTTGCTTTCATGCTCCAACAGCAGAACTGAGTAGACGGGAGAGAGGCCATTATGGCTCATATGTCTAAAAATATTTGCTATATGATTCCTAAGAAAAAGTTTGCTGATGGCTGCTCCAAAAATAGCGTACTTATTCTAAAATCTTTTTGAAAAATGTTAACTATGTATTATGAATCAAAATAAACTGATTTTGGAATGTAAGTGGGAAGGTTGCTTACTTAAACTGAGGAATTTAGGATATAACGAAACAACAACAACAACAACAAAAACCCCAAAAAACAAAGCCAAGCGTACCTAGGGAACAGCTTCTATCTCAATTTCTGCTGATGGCAGAGCCATCAATCTGCTTGTCTAGTTAACATTTCAAGACTCTTCCATAAAAGTTACCAAGAGCTTTAAGCAGGGGGAAAAAGAAATCAGAAACATCTTCCAAATGGACAAAAGCTAGGGTAGAAAAGTAATTCAAAAAGTAAAGGGATACAAACAGCCCTTCGTAGAAATTATAGATGCATAGACTGAACTTCCTTAAGGTTTGCCAAGTGATTTTTAATTCCTCAGGTTGTTATCAGTAATTGATATTCATCAAAATACCCACCGATGAGTGTTGAAATCTCTTCATTGTTTCTCGTGCTTATCTAACGGTAACAAGCATATTCATTATACTCTTCCATTGTGTTTTCAGCTATGATTTACAAAGGCTGTGGCTCATGATTAATTTTAGTTTATACACTAACACAAACTCCTTTGTTTGTTAGCTTGATCCTGTTAGTATGCAAACAAGTATGGCCAAGAAAACAAAACCTACAAGCCCAAATTCCCATGAGATTTTTTGTGAATACGACCAATTTGAGAACTACAAATAAACTTCCTGGATTTTTTTTTTCAATGCTGAAAGTCAGCAGTATCATATTACCTAGACCACCAGAGTCTACTCAGAGGAAGAAATAAAAAGAAAGGCAAGACTGCAGAGACTGCAGGCCAACACAGTTCAATCTGTCTTTCCACTAGAAATGGAACTACATAAAATTATTCTTAAATTTGGAAAAAGAATGCATTTTCAGGCTAACAAAGTTGATACAGCATGAGCTAACTAAAATGCATTTATTTTCTTATTCTTTTAACTCATCTTTAAAGATGGAGATGTTATCCACCTTGGAAAGTCATAGCAGGCTCAGATCTGTCAGATCCAAGGCATCCTAATGCTGTGTGTGTGTGTGTGTGTGTGTGTGTGTGTGTGTGTGTGTGTGCGCGCATACATGCATATACGGTCATTCTACTATACCTACTTAGGACTCAATAATTATTTTCCATAAAATTAGTAACTTTCCTTATGCATTAGATAATCTAACATTATTGATAACCATAAATCTCACACTGAAGAAAACTTAAGTAACATGAAAAGTAAAATTCTTTTTCTGGGAAAGCAAATTTGATATTTTTTTAAAAGCAAGCAATTGCTATGCCTAAGCACTAAGGACTATAGACCCCGACTCTATAGGTCATCACAATAAAGCCATAAGCCCCCCAAAACTGAACAAAGAATAGCATCTTAGTCATTAATGATTTATGAGCTGGGTAAAACTGCAATTGGCTTTGCTAAATACAATTTGGAATTTCAAGATTCCATATTCTACTACCTATTTCTACCAGTTCCCAAGGGCCCTATTATATTTAATATACTTTAAATGCTATTTGTTAAAAAGCTTTTTAAAAGAACACATTAGGAAATGTTAACAGGTTTTCCCTAGGCTCGCGATAACTATTAATTCTCATTCTTCATATTTTTCTACATGGCATATGAAACAGATATAATTTGAAGTCATTACTGTTTTCTGAGCTCAGGAAAGTGCAGCACATACTTTTGATATAAGAAAATAGGTGAAAGTAAACTTGATATTAGAAATATATCATATCTAAAATAGTTCAATTTTGAAGGCAAAAACAGTGATTTTATATATATATATATATAGTTATAATAAAATTTCAGCTTGTTCTAATCAATTTCTATTTCCATATTTAAGATGTATCTTTTTTTCACATTTTAGCGGGGACCATTATATTTCACTATAGGCTAATTAAATGATCTCTTCAATGGAAAAACGCTAAAATCAATATACAAAGCATATTTTTATAAGACTGGTAATAAATACTGGGATACTCAACAAACCAGTTACATATCCCTTCCCTCAATGAGTAGTAGAGTATTTTACAAACTCTAATTTGGGTGATAAGTGTAAATACAACAAGCATTAGAAGTTCAAAACAGGAGAGCAAGAAGGGCTGTATTGTATGGATGAAGTGTGAAAATATTTATAAAAGAAATAAAGGGGAGAAATGAGGGATCCTGTCACCCAGAGAGCCTCCATCGTGTAGTTGTTAGGCTGGCGTCTGAGGGCAGCTGGGCACTGCAAGCAAGGGATAGCAGAAGTGACTGGGAACACCTGGCAGCATTTTCTTCTCCAGCGTAAGCTTTTCTTCTTCCCCTCCTTCTCCCTCAGACCCCCTTTCAACAGATTTGTCTATATTCTTTTAAATGGAGGTCTTCTGGAGCGGAGATTATATTGTTTTGAAAATCTGGTCAACTCATTGGCTCAAAATATTGAAAGACAGAATTAGTTCTAAGTGACTTGTGGTAATTACCTCACCATTCTTATATTCTGACTTTCCCTGTCACTCTAAGTGTCTAGCTGGTGCTTAAATTAAAATGTATTGTTGATATACTCTGGTTTTCATAGGTAAAAAGTAATTTTCTGTACACAGGTTATCTCCTCTGTAAATCGGCTGACAGAATATCCCCGCAGAAGAGAAGTTTGACTCAAAGCTTAAATCTGTTCATTTCAAATAGTTTTACTGAATTAACATTAGTGGGACTGTTTCGTCAACACTATTTTTGAGGTTAGGTTACCCTTTCTTCAACTTATGAAAAAAAGTCATTTAATTAATATGTTCTTTAAATTCTCAATAGTGACTTTATTTAGGAAAGTTTTGTTGATGTTCACTTACATAAGTGTTTTCTCCATAAGAAACACGATATCCATTCTGACATTGCATTTTTTTTTTTTTAGTAAGCAATTGGAGGAATTTGTATCTCTTCCTATTTTTTACCAATGCTTATTATAACTGACAGACATTGCCATAATAAGCAATAAAAACAAACACGTAAGTAAATAAATATTTTTTAAACAAATTTTGAACCTACAAAAAAATAAGTTCCTTACTCAAAACTAATGTTAAAGGAATTCCCAGCGTTCAGTGCAGTGATGAGATTAGGTAGAGATGAGATTATTCTTAGTATAAAGGAGGTAGATTTTATAGAAATAAAACACATTCTTGAAATTAAATAGAACCGGTATGGTCACATTTTGGCAAAAGCAGAAAAAGACCTAATAGTTTAAGTATTAGTTGTGATGTTTAAAAGTCATTATTAAGAGATTTGAGATCTTCATTAAACAATCTAGGAAGCCTGAGGCATTTTAGTAAAAAGTGGTTTACAGGGAAGGTTATTGTCATTTTTTATAAAACCAAGATTGATTTTCTTTTTGGAAAACAGAAATTATAAAATAGGAGAGAATGCATAGGTTTTGTAAACTAAAGGATGTGAGTATAAATTCTGTTATGTCATTCATTAAATTTATCAATTTGGGAAAACGACACTCTGTGCTTCTGTTATTTGTATGTAAAGGTCAGCTTCACAGAAACTTTTCAAGGAATTAAAAAAAAACTGTGTAATGCAACACATGAGAGTGGCTCAGTTTAATACAGGGAGTATCGAAGTATAATCAGGAGAGCCTTAATAGGAATCACTTTCCTTGTCCCTACTCATCAATGATTGAAGCATTTAAAGTGAATGTGTAAAATATAAGAAATTTTAAATTTCTACAGAAGGACTGAACAAGATTTAAAGAATTTCAGTTGCAGTTGGATGGATTCAAGAAAGCGTCCTTGTCATTCTGGAATGAGAGGTTTAGATTTGGATTACTGGAGTACCCAGGTAGTTTGAAGTAGGTTTCTCTGATCCTTGACCTAGCACTTTCATATGCCATCCCGCCCATTCTCCTACTCTGGGTACTCTGAAGTTAATTATTCCCCTTTGTATTATGTTTATAACTTCTACTGCTGTATGCATCTTAAACCTATGTATTTTCGTGGCAATCTTCCCCACCACGTGGTGAGACAGGTTCTTATTCATCTTGGTCTCCTCCGCTGCTTGGCTCAGAGCCCAGTAAAGATGTGTACGTAGATAAACAATTTAGTAACTATTATCTTGGATAAACTGAAGGGAGTTTTATTACGGACAAAAGCATAGGATAATCTGGTATTTTTTTAAAAAAACAAAATTCTGCATTTTTATAAAACTTGATAAAAACAGTATTTCAAACTATACAGGCACCAGAAGTAGAGTTATCAAAAATGCATGCACATCACTTGGTATCTCCCGGCATTTTGTTTCCATATAATATATACCTTCATGACAAATCACTTCGTTTATAACTCTAAAAAGTCTAGAAAAATGTGTTTTGATCTAATCAAATGAGTGTTAACCTTTTTTAAAAGGTAAATTCTATAAGCAACTCAATGCCACATGGACGATACTTACATTAGCCAGATGAGCTAGTTCTATCTCCAGGAACGAATCAGTTGTTTTGGGTTCAGGCCTTATTGTGACCACGATGATTTTGGAATTAACGACAGTGTAATTTCTGAAACAGAGTAATTATGATTATTAAAAGGAGAAAGGATCGATGACAAGTATGAATTCCTCCTGCTCAGTACGTGCTGGGATGCATGTTAAATAAATATATCCTAACGTATCTTAAGGAAAACAGAGAAACCTTGGGCAAACAGATTTTAAGCATGATACTAAAGTACTACTCATGGAAAGCTACAGTTCACTTCTTCTTATAAACAAACCCTATCTGGAACTAGGAAACTTTGCGGGGGGAAGCTATTGCTGACTGTACCATTTTAGATGTAGGGAAGATGAAAAAGTAGCAGCACTGACAAGCTTTTGATTACTTAAATCTGATTCACCTACAAGAGAGATGGATTGTGAATTCAAACCTTCAGGCAATCTTTAAATGAATATAATCCATTTATCTCAAGGTGGACTTAACAGTTTTGTTCTCCAGGAGACCAAATATTCTTCTTGTAAAGTGCTATCTTGGTGGTTTTTTTTAGACTATCTCAAAATTCATTAAGATGAATGATAGGGATGTGGTTTAGCATGAAAGCAAGCAGCGTTTAAATGTAAATAAATGCTGTTGCTAATCATTGACCATCATTCATTTAAGCAATAGAGAATTTCAGGCCACTTCTTTATCTCAATATGCTCCATGGAAGGAATACATTTGCCTTTTGAAATACCTTACCAATTACAGTTCACCCACAAAGAAGTTTTAAATATATTTACAAGCTACAAAAATTATCCATAAACATAAACATATAAAACTGAGCCAACTCTTTCTTGTACGTACAAGTTTTATCCAACACGTATAAAATGCTACACATCACCTCTTATTTAGAGATTTTAAGTTTTATTATACTTTCAGCTATATATATTTATTCCATCCCTTCTTTCTGATTTGAAACAAATCACAGAGCATGTTCTTCCATAGAACATGTACTATTCCGGGGAATTTGTAACGGGTACCAAAGATGAAGTCATTCCATTTTTCCTTCTTTTTTGTTGTTCACAACATCATTTGTAGATAATAAAATTCACCAATTTTAAGTGGGCAGTTTAATGCTTTTAGTAATTGTATACTACCATGCAAGCAGCACCAAATCAAGATAGACAACCTGATCCCTCACCCTGAACACTTTCCTTGAACTCTTTGCATCTGATCCCCTCCTGCTCCCAAGGTTCCAGGCAACTAATGAACATGTTGCCACTAAAATCATGCCTTTTCTAGAATTTCATTTAAATAGAATCATACAGTACAAAGACCTTCATGTTTGACTTAATTCACTTAGCATAATGTTTCTGAGATTCATCCATTTTGTTTCTCTTTATAGGTGAGTACTATTCCATGATATGGCTATAACACAGTTTGTGACCTACTCATCAATTACGTAAACAACCTGTGGGTTACTTCTGGTTTTTAGTTTTTATGAATAGTACTATTCATATTTGGCTATTATGAATAATTGGCATACATAGTTTCTACATAGACACGTGTTTTCATATGTTTTGGGTAAATACCTAGGAGTGGACTTGATCATGTGGTGAAAGCGTGTTTAATTTTATAAGTAAATGCCACACTCTTTCCAAAAATGGCCATACCATCAAAACTGTATAATTCTAATACTGTAGAACAATGTTGAACCCCACATTCTTTGTGAAAATCTTTTCTCTAATGGGATGGTCTTTGCCATGATATTTCACAAGAAAAAAATGCTGACTCTGCCACCATGAGGAATTAACCATATTTAGTAATAGAGGAACTCTAAACATATTTTGAGTTGGATAACATTTTTTAGCCCATCTCTCATGTATTCAGTAATGTCAAATAACAAATTCTTAAACACTGAGGAAGCTTCATGGTATCTAGCCTAACAGTAAAAAGTAAAGAACAACAAAGTAAAATTTGACTTTATATTTCTTAGGGGAAGGTAGCTGCAAACAGAGAGGGCTGGTTAACTGTCCTTTATTTCATTTAATACTAACTGAAGGTCAGTTGCACTGAGAATGATATGAAGGTAAACTTTAAATGCCAAGTTCCCTTTGCAAATTTATTGTTCCCTGTTTCTCCGAGTAAGGGTGTTCAGGGCATCAGGTGAGAATAGATGGAATTAACAAAGCTGTGAGGTGATGTTGGGCAATTAATTATATTAGCAGATGTGACAGGATTCTCAGAGCATGACAAGGTGTATATAATTTGGGATTGGGGAGAATGTTTGTCTGTCACCACCAAAAAGAATTATGGAGGTTTCGCCCAGAGAATAGTCCTGAGCACACAGATGCAAGTTCCTTTTCCAAATTAGCCTGAATATGTTTGAGTTCTGGTTTGTTTACTTTGAAACAAAAATATTTATGTCACTTTAATTCATTTTGCCTCTTTATTCTGGTTCTATTTATAATCCCATTTCTCTGCTATAAATAAAGCCAATGTTAATTTAACTCAACTGCTAATTTTAATTAATAAACGTTAGTTAAATTTAATGGTATACAGATATTTTGTATTATTTTAAAGTTGTGTAAGTGGATCATTTACTGGAAAATACAGATGTGAGTATTCCAAGCAAGAATTTATAATTTTGTCAAAATATTTATGAAGCTCTCTTTGTGTGTTTGGGCATGTGGGAATTTAGACCCTGAGAAACTGGGGTATAGAAAGCAAAGTACCTAAGATGAGCAGCCCTCTGTAGGGTATGTTACGCTGTGCCAGGTTTATCAGCTTCTCAACTGGCCTGGTGGAGATGACCCCTAGAGGACAGAGCCCATCTATGACTTTTGCTGTGTGTGTGTGTGTGTGTGTGTGTGTGTGTGTGTGTGTGTGAACTTATTTAGAATTCAACTGGGAAAGGTTGCATGCCAATATAATTATGCAGATGGATGTTCTCATCACACTCATGTTAGTACTCTCCCCTACCCTGTCCTGCTAATATGTAACTATCTCTACCACAACATCCATTAATATGTACGTCTCCTTCCACATGATTATAAGTTCAACGAGGGCAAGATTTGTATCTAGCATTTATGTATCCTCATTTGTATTATGCTTTGCACATTTTAGTGCTAACACATGTTTAAATATCATATTAAATAAACACATAATAAACAAAAATATCAAACTTTTGACCAAGTTGGATTAAAATGTAATGCCATTATCGTGGTATTAAAATGCTTAATGAAGGAAAAATAATCAAATTTACATTATGCAGTGGGTCCCTTTTAAAAAAGTGTATAGCATGTGAAATTATCTTTAATTTATTCCATCAACTTATTCTAATTTGCATAAGTGAGTAGCTGGCTCCTTATGTGCCATGTCAGGCTTTGTGATCTGCTAATGCTTTCTGGCTGGGCACACATTTATATTCACTGCTGGGAAAGCAGGGCTTATAGCCAAATGGATTTCATGACTGCAATAATAAAGTTTTTTTCTATTCTTGAAATTTGTGCTAGTAGGTTTGGCTAAAACATTTAAAATGTGTAGAATTACTCATTCAAAGGAGACCCAAGTTATTCTTCACAATTATTACAGAGGCTTAAGGCACTTAGAGTATATAAACCATATCTTAAAGAGAGTAAAAAGAAGTGACTATAAAATGGAATGTAGTTGTTTACAAGAGACTCACTTTAGGTATAAGGACATACCACAGGCTGAAAGTGAAAGATGGAAAATGATGGCCATGCAAATGGTAACCAAAAGAAAGCATAGTTGGTCATATTTGTAATGGACAAAATGGACTTTAAGTCAAAAACCATAATAAGAGATAAAGAAGAATTATATACTAATAAAAGGGCCAATTCACCAGGGAGATAAAACAATTATAAACATATACATACCTAATAGTAGAGCACCCAAATATATGAAGCAAATGTTGACAGAATGGAAGGGAAAAATAGACAGTAACACAAAAATAGTAGATTTCAATTCAATACCCCACTTTCATGATGGATAAATCAACCAGATAATAGATCAATAAGAAACAGAGGACATGAACAACACTATAGATCAGTTGGATCTAACAGACATATAAAGAACACCCTATTCAACAACAGCAGAACATACGTTCTTCTCAAGTGCTTATAGAGTCTTCTCCAGGATAAATCACAGGTGATTCCACAAAAAGAGTCTGAACAAATTTAAGATGATTGGAATCATATTAAGTATCTTTTCTGACCACAGTGGAATGAAACTAGAAATCAAAGGCAAAAAAAAAAAAACCCAAAAAAACAAAAACAAAAACTGGAAAATTCACAAATATGTGGAAATTAAATAAAACACTCTTGAACAATCAATGACCAAAGGACAGACTACAAGAGAAACTAAAAATATCTTGAGACAAATGAAAATGAAAACACATTATCAAAACTAATGGGACACAGCAAAAGCCCTAAGACAGAAATAGGAGTAAATGCTTCCATTTAAAAAGAAGAGCTCAAATCAACAACCTGTTTTTATATCTCACAGAACTAGAAAAAAAAACCTAAAACCAGAGTTAGCAGAAAGAAGGGAACAATAAAAATTAAAGCAGAAACAAATGAAATAGGGAACAGAAAAACAATAGAAAATATCAACCAGAATAAGAGTTGTTTGAAAAAAAATCAACAAAATTGACCAACTCTTAACTAGACTAACTAATTAAAGGGAGAAAACTAAAATAACAAAAACCAGAAATGAAGAGAGGAGATATTAGAACTGATGCCACAGAAATAAAAAGGATTACAAGAGACTACTATAAACAATCACATGCTAATGATTTGGATAACTTAAAAGAAATTCCTATAAACATAAAAGCTACCAAGACTAAGATTCATGAAGAAATTTAAAAATGGAACAGACCTGTAACTATTAGAGATTGAATCTGTCATCAAAACCTCCCAACACAGAAAAGCCCAAGAACAGATGGCTTCGCTGGAAAAATTCCATCAAATATGTAAAGAAGAATTAACATCAATTCTTCTCAAACTTTTCCAAAACTTTGAAGAGGAGGACATACTTCCAAACTCACTTTATGAGACCCTCCTACCAAA